CCCTATCCACCTGGTATGGTCCAGGCTCTGAGAGGCGCAGTGTTCTGGGGTCCCCACCAGGGGTCAGCACACTGCTGCACTCTGGCTGTTTTACTCTATTAAGGAGCTCTCCTGGGTCCCCCTGGCCCCTCCACAGCCCCCAGTTTTCTTTCTGTCTCACTTCTCTGAGCCCATCACTCCCCAGTATGGTCATTTCATCCATCACATCCGTCACTGCAGGACCAGGCAGCCTCCCAGCCAGCCAGCCTGACGTCTCTCCTGAGCTGGGGAATCCCACAGCCTCCCTCACTTCCCCAGACACATGAGCCCAGGCTGGGCAGCAGAAGGGGCCTCCCGCTGTCCCTCCTCTTCTCCTGCTGCCATCCAGCTCAAGGTCTCGGGTTTGGTTTCCAGGGGAAATGGGAATGTTCGGAGGTTCACTCCGTCTAATAAGTTTTCCCATGTGTGTTAGCAAAGCTCTTCTCCTAGCCCACCTCCCCTGTTCTGTGTACCCCATCAAGTCTCCAGAGCAACCCCCCCACGCTCCCCTTAGATGGGAATGCTCTCCCTCCTCCCTCCAGCACAGCACCAGTGTGCATGGAACCAGGGGCTCTCCGGGCTGGCCCCTCCTCCTGCTGCCCCTGGCACACCTCGGACCTGCCCCTTCAGGTCCTTCCTCTCATATACCCACCATGCCAACACCTCTTTTTCCACAGGTGAGGCCCATAGCCTGAGAAGCTCAGCTCATTCCTCGCCATCCCTTCCACCCTGTCCTCACACCCCTTCCTCCAGGAAGACTTCCCTCTCACCACCCTAGAGACAAACAGGCATGAGAGCATCTTGGCCTTGCCAGGCGTCAGCTCTGCTGCCTTAACCTAACTCTCAGTCTCTTTATCTGCCAAATGGGGAGATATACAGCTCTCTGATGTACTGTGAGGCCTCAGCGAGGTAACGGATGTGGAAATGTTAGCCCACCACATGGGGACACGGAAGTCACCTATCCTTTTCTTGCTTTTTTTAATTTTTTTTTTTTTTTTGAGACGGAGTCTCACTCTGTTGCCAAGGGTGGAGGGGCAGTGGCGCTATCTCGGCTCACTGTAACCTCTGCCTTCCGAGTTCCAGCGATTCTCCTGCCTCAACCTTTCAAGTAATTGGGACTGCAGGTGCCCACCACCACGCCCGGCTAATTTTTCTATTTTTAGAAGAGATGGGGTTTTGCCACGCTGGCCAGGCTGGTCTTGAACTCTTGACCTCAGGTGATCCACCTGCCTTGGCCTCCCAAAGTGCTGGGATTACAGGCATGAACCACCGTGCCCAGCCACCTATCCTTTTCTTGTGGTGCAGCTGACACCCCCATGCCCCCTGCCCCCAGCCTGCTGACAGGAACCTGCCCTTGCTAGGTGCACTGGCTGCCTCTGCTGCTCCCACTGTCCTTGGCTCAGGCAGAGGGGCAAGACCAGGGGATCCTGGGGCACAAACCACTGTGCTGGGGATGTGGGGACAGATGCAGGGCTCTGTGGGGACCTCAGACCAGAACCCTATCTGCAGGGTCATATCCCTCCCCTGACCATGCACAAAACCTGGCGTGGAGGCCACTGTCCTCCCCTGGAATTGTTGGGGGCCCCTTCTGGCCTAGCATGGGAGAGGGGCTCCCACAGAGTTCCCTGAGGCTTTGAGGGGAGCAGAAGGCTGGTGGGAGGTGAAGGAGGGGCGGCGGGGCAGGGGGAATACCGACCACACAATATTCTAAGTCCCTGCTCCTTTTCCCATCCACCCCCACCCCCTCCGCCAAACACGATCCCTGGGTTAATTTTTAGCATCGCAGCTCGCACATTAGTCACTCCCTGTCACCCACCTACACGGCAGGAGGCTGCTGTGCTGGTGCCGTCATCCCATCAGCTGAGAGGTGGGATCCAGCCCCACCCTGGGCACCCCTCACCCTCCCCCGGGAGCACACGACTGGCCAGGAAACCCCATCAGCCTGGGTGAGGGGACACCAACATCACTCCTGGGGCTAGCTACATGGCAGGGAGTAGGGACAGACCGGTGGCCAAGGGACTTGGAATCTACTGGGAGGAGAAATCTAGGGAGGCCCTGCAGCTTCCCACCTCCGCATAAGGTGCCAGGCTATGCCCAGGCAGTTGGTCTCCTGGCAGCCTTGGGCTCTGGGAACAAAGGTGTGAGGGGGCCCTTCCCCTAGACCTGAGCCCCTGGGAGCCAGTGTTTGTTTGTCATTGCCGCAGAGCAGCTGTTCAAACAGGGAGCTTGGGGAAGCTCCATTTTCTTAATCAAATGTCCTCCCTTCCTGGGACTGGGGAGGGCAGGGTGGCCAGGTGCAGGTGCCCTTGCTGGGGCCGCCACCCAGCCCCAAAGGGATTTTGAGAGAAGGGCCTACAGATGCCAGCTACAGATGGAGAAGAAGAGGGGCCATCTCACCCACTCCCTGGGGCTCAGAGGCGGGGAGGTGGTGGTTACCCCTAGGCAGCGTTGGCCCCAAGGAAGCATTCACTCATCAGTGCCCGTTAATGGAGCCCCACCTGTGTGCCAGGCTCTGTTAGGCCCTGGAGGTGCAACTTCAAAAAAGACTGGGTTCCTGCCCTCACAAAGGCACGACAGAAACAAAAGAAGTCAGTGCGATTCCCAATTGGGAGAAAGTGCTATGAAGTAAAAAATAAAATAGACGGGCGCGGTGGCTCAAGCCTGGAATCCCAGCACTTTGGGAGGCCGAGGCGAGTGGATTACCTGAGGTCAGGAGTTCAAGACCAGCCTGGCCAACATGGCAAAACCCTCTCTCTACTAAAATTACAAAACTTAGGCAGGTGTGGTGGTGGGTGCCTGTAATTCCAGCTGCTTGGGAGGCTGAGGCAGGGGAATCCCTTGAACCCAGGAGGTGGAGGTGGCAGTGAGCTGAGATTGTGCCATTGCACTCCAGCCTGGGTGACAAGAGTGAAACTCCATCTCAAAACAACAACAACAACAACAAACCCAGCAGACTCAAGATAAAGAATAATGGGGTCAGGGAACTACTTCAGATCTGATCAGGCAAACCTCTTTGAGGAGCTGATGTTTTAGCTGAAGCACGAGGATGGAGCAATCAGTCCTGCAAAGAGTATTCCAGGCAGAGAAGAAAGCACGGGCGAAGGCCAGAGGCAGGAGGGAGCTTGGCATATTTGAGGAATAGGAGCAGAAAGGGTAGTGTGGCTTAGATGTAACAAGTGACATGGAAGGAGAAACAATTTGAGATCAGACGGAGAGGCAGGGACCAGATTCTGGAGGGGTTCATGGAGGGCATCGAGAGACATAAGTGCAGAGGTTGGGCACTGCACAAAAGGCTTCCAGTTACCAAACTGTTGGGCCTGTGTGGCTGCTGTCAGCCTGGAGAAAGGGATGCTATGTTATGTGTCTCCCAGGAGGGACGTGTTATGGATAGGCCATGGTAAAGAGTTTGGACCTTATTCTTTTATTCCAGGGAAAGACATAACAGGTTTAAGCAGAGGAGGCTTGTGATCCAGTTTCCTTTTTGAAAAGATCACCCTGACTGCTGTGTGCAGAAAGGATGCTCAAGGAGCAAAAGAAGAAACAGAAATGGGACCCTCTCAGAAGGCAAGAACCATGGTGCAGGACAGGCAGGGAGGGTCTGCTCAGACCTCTCTCAAAGCCGCCCCCTGCCTGCTGGTTACTGCCCAGGAGGAGCACTGGAGCAGGGACCTCAAGTCCCAGGCCCAGGTCTGCCACTAGCTTGCTGTATGACACCAGGCAGGTCACTTCAAGGAAGGTCGTGACCATCACTTGGAGATGCATGAGCACACTCTATTCTAGCACACACTGCCTTGAGGGTCTACCATGTGCTAGGATCAGGCAAGAATAAAGCAGTGAAGACAGAAAAGGCTTCTGAGCCCTACTGCAAGAAGCGTGCATCCTCCCAGGTGGGGAGGGCAGGCAAAGATAAACCCATAAAAGTCAAGACAGTCTCAGATTGCGATGAGTATACAACAGCGCTGTCACAGAGGAGGCTATGACTGTATTTTCCACTGGGTGGGAAGGTCTTTGGAAGGCAGGGCTGAGGACTGAAGTGTACCAGGTACAGCCAGCAGCACAGTCAAAGCAGGGAGAAGCAGAGGCTGGCAAGGGTCAGAATCTCATTCTGGAAGGCAGGCGTGGTGAGTCAAGCATGTGATCTCAACATTTTGGGAGGCTAAGGCGGGCAGATCATGTGAGGTCAGGAGTTTGAAACCAGTTTGGCCAACATGGTGAAACTCCGTCTCTACTAAAAATACAACAATTAGGCCTGGCACGGTGGCTCACACCTGTAATCCCAGCACTTTGGGAGGCCTTGGCAGGCCGAGCATGAGGTCAAGAGATCGAGACCATCTTGGCCAACATGGTGAAACCCTGTCTCTACTAAAAATACAAAAATTAGCTGGGTTTGGTGGTACGCACCTGGTAGTCCCAGCTACTTGGGAGGCTGAGGCAGGAGAATTGCTTGAACCCGGGAGACAGAGGTTGCAATGAGCCAAGATTGAGCCACTGCACTCCAGCCTGGGTGACAGAGGGAGACTCCCATCTCAAAAAAACAACAACAAAAAACTCATCCTGGGAGTATTGGAAACCACAGAAGAGTTCTAGAACAACAGAGTAATCTGTGATGGGGCCCATCACAGGCCAGGTGGATAATGGCTCAGGTCCCTTCAGATCTGGCTTGTGCCCCTCAAGGCAGACCTCAGAGGCTGGGAGGAAAGGCTTGCCAAGCACATGTATTTCTATAGGGATGGTTAAGTACTTGAGGCAAGCCTTGGCCACCAGCTGCTGTGGGTATTTGGGGAGGGAGGCTCAAGTTCTGAAGTGTGGGGCCTCCAGCTCAGGCCTGTACATGTAAATTTAAATCTCCCAGACTATTTCCCTGGCTTCAGGCTGCAAGAAAATAACATGTGCGTTTGTGTTGGGGGTGGGTGGTTGGAATGGAGGAGTCAGAGCTTGTCCCACCCCAATCCTTCCCCTCAGGCAGTCACCACACTGACACAGATGCAAAAAACCATCCATTTTATACAGCTTGTGGTTCAGAAGCAACAATATGTAGAACGGTGGAACAGTCTGTGCTGTCCCCACCCCACCTGAACTTGCCGGTTCCTGTCCCCCAAGGGGCACAGAACACAGACCCCCTGCCCGGCAGGACCCGACTTAGTTACAAGCCCCTGGGAGGGGCCAAGCCCTTAGGGGTCAAGGCCAGGACGCAGGAGGCCCAGCACCTGATGCCCCTCGGGGCCCACTGGGTCAGGGAACGGTGTGTGTGGAGGGTGGGGGGTCAGCCCACCATGGGCCATTTCTCCCCAAGGCTAAGGGCGGGGGAGCAAGTAAAGCTGAGGAGAGGGCTTCGTGGGACAGGGTTCCCACCCCCTGCTGGGAGGGTGTTCCAGGATACCCCACAAGGCACTACAGTTGAGACTGTAGGCGAGCACCCCCATCTTTGGCCCCCGATTGCCTGGGTTTCCCCCTGCCCCCAGCTCCCACTGTGGCTTAGTGAAAGAGAAGGGAAGGGCCTGGGCCCCCCACTCCCTCAGCAGACACCAGCCGGAACAGACCAGAAGGGGCGGGGCTCGCAAGGACCCTCTCCCGCTGCTCTGGGCTCCTGGGGTCCTCTTGGCCCGGCCTCCCCCTCTTTCAGCGCTGGCTGTTGCGAATAAATAAATAAATACCTCCCTGCCCGCCCCCGCCCCTACAGCTGGCTCTCCTCCTCCTCCAGGGAGCGGTTGAGTCCGGGGATGAACTTGAGCAGCCGCCGGCGGAAGCTGCGGTACTTGGTTTTGCGCAGGCCGGGGCCGCACAGGACCTGCTCGCGGGCCTCAGTCCAGAGCGCGCCTGGCGCGCCCCCGCCTCCGCCCCCGCAGGGGCCCGCGCACCGCACACTGGCGCTGCGGCTCAGCGCGGCCCGCGCCCCGGGGCCCGGCCCCACAGCAGGGGTATCGGCGGGGCCCGGGCCTAGGGCGCGGGCCGGGGGCGGCAGAGGCGGCAGCGCCGGCGGCTCGGAGTCCCCGAAGAAGCACGTGTGGTAGACGGCGTCGTCGGTGTCGCCCCTGGTCCGCCGGGCGCCTCCGCGGGGACGCCCGGGCACGGCGAGCAGAGGCCCGAAGGGCAGCGAGCCCGGGAGCAGGCCCGCGCCATACAGGCAGGAGCGCACCGACTCCAGCGTGTCGTAGATGCTGGGGTCCTTCACCACCAGGCCTGCGTGGAGACGGGGGAGGCGGTGGGGGGCGGGTCAGGCCTGGGCGGTGGTGTCCTCCGCAAAGGCTCGGAGGGCCTAGGCGAGGCATCTCCACTCCGTCCTGCTGACCCTCTGTGTGGCCCTGGCCGGGCACAGACCTGAGCCCCTACTTCCCTCACCCGCAAATCAGAAATGATCACTCAGATCCTTATGGGCGTCGCTTAGCACATAAGACCCTCCGAAAGAATTGACACAGACTGAGCCCTGGTGTTCCCCTCTGTGAAGTGAAGATGACACTATCTGTTACTTACCTGCAGAGGGCTAGTGTGAGAATAGCCAGAAACGTGGGTACGGCAGTATCCAAAGTAGTAGCTCAACAAACCTTGCTTAACTTTAGAGGTTTGCTAGTAAACCTTTCTTTACTAGAGCCCACCAGTTCCGAGGAGGAAGCGCAGACCTACTCACCATGCACCAGCCGCTGCTCCTGCACCATTAGGGACCTGTACTCTCCCCACTTCTCATACAGGGTTTGCTGCAAGAGACAACCACCACCCCACTGTCACGAACTAGCAGGAAACCAGCAGGACATAGGTACAGATAAGGGATCAGGGAGTAGACAGCAGAAACCTTCGGTTTAAAGGAGATTCGGATATAAATGACCACCCCACAGGGTAGGCGCTTGGGAAGAGGAGGGTGGAGGTTAGACGTTATCTGCGCCTACCTTCAGGTACTGCAGACGAGCCTCCAGTTCCGCCTTCCGAATTGACGTTCCGTACAGAGTTTCCAATCTGAGATTGGGGAATCAAAGGTCGAGTGAGCCACAGGCTGAGGAAATACCAAGAGGCTGAGCTCCGGAGTCCTCAGGCATGCAGCTCCCAGACATACCTGAGAACGTTGCCTGATGCTTTAATGATGTCCACAATCTCTCGATGCCGGATGCCTTCCACATTCAGGCCATTGACGCTGGCAATGGTGTCCCCTGCCAGGCGGACATAGGGGTTAGATTTGCTCCAGGGGGCATGTTAGAATTCCAGCCTCCTACCTTAGTCAGAAAGGGGAGGAGGAGGGTAGTAACTCCAAGGAATGCTCCTCAACTCCCTCCTCCAACTTCTCATGGTTCTAGGTGGCCCTCCTCTGACATCTCTCGTACCCGATCCAAACACACAGAACCACAGCCATTCTTCTGGGCCTCTAGTGAACCCCAGCCAAAGGACAGGGACCTCATACACCTAGCACCCTCACTCCACCCTCGAGAAGCTCTGTCCCAAAGCTAAGCCCACCCAGGACCCTGGGCTGTCCTCAGAGTTGGTTATTTCTGTCCAGTCCACGCTGGCCATGAGACCCAGTCAAAATTCAGGGAGGGGCAGGTGGGCAGCACCTCGATAGGAACTGACCCTGGCCCCAGGAATGGCAGAGCCTCATGGAGCCACAGAGAATCAACCTCTGGTGGTGAGAGGGAAGCACAGGGAATGCCTGGCCCCGCACACTGCAGAGCCTCCCAACCTCAGGCACAGGTGCCCAGTCTCAGGGCCCCTTTCCCATCTGTAAAAAGGGTATGGATCCCTGCTGTGGCTGCTTCAGGGACGACAGGGAGGGAGGGTGGATGTGAAACTGCCTTGTGAAGTTGTGGTATACCACCTGGCTACTGCTATGGTTTAAATATGGTTTGTCCCCAAAACTCAGGTTGAGGCTTCATCCCCAATGTAACAGTGTTGAGAGATGGTAGGACCTTCCTTCAAGAGGCATTTGGGCCATGAAGGATCCGCCCTCATGAAGGGATTCATGCTGTTTTGGGGAGTGAGTTCTTGCTCTGGCAGGACTGGTTTAGTTACCTGCAGAGTGGGTGGCTATAAAGCAAGATCACCCGTGTTTTGTCTCTTTCACATGTACCTACCTGCCACTCTTGCAGGCGCTCCTGCCACGAGCTGCCATCCATCATGTCAGAACGCAGCATGAGGCCCTCACCCAGTGCGGCCTCCCAGTCTTGAACTTCCCAGCCTCCAGAACTATGAGCTAAATAAACCTCTCTTCTTTATAATCACCCAATCTCAGGTATTCTGTTACGGTAACAGAAAATGGACTAAGAGAGCTAGCAAGAGCTGCTGGTGAGTGGGAGGGAGGTAGGGGCTTAGGGGCAAAGATGGTGGAGCAGGGATTGATTCATATAGTTTCAGGCTGCCCTTCCTGGAACATGGGGACTCTAGATCTGCTCAATCCAGGGTCTCCTACTGAGGCATAATTTCCTTGTTAGAGGAAGTAACATATTGCTTTGGGAGGCAGAGGCAGGAGGAGGATCGCTTCAGCACAGGAGTTCAAGGTTATCTTGAGTTATGTAATTATGCCACTGCACTTCAGCCTTGGTGACAGAGTGAGGCCCTGTCTCTTAAAAAAAATGTTTTTAATTTTTTTAAAGGGAGTAACATCGGTTCCTCAGTGCTGGGCCTATCTGGGGGCAGGACTGGCCTGCTCTCCAATCTCAAGCAGAGCTAATGGATTGTCACTTCCTCCCCGGCTCCTGCCCGTGCTGACTGCCAGGCTGCTGGGAGGAAGCAGAGCAGCAGCAGCAGCAGCAGCAGCGTCCACCATTAATTAGGCCCTGGCTCTGTTCCCAGGGAATCCCCCTGCTGCACTGTGATGTTTGGATGCATTATTACCCCCATTTTATAGATGGGACTATGCAAGACCACACAGTACATGGCAAATTTGCCTAGATCCAAAGCCCAGGTTCTATCCATTCTTCTTTCTGGCTTGTGAAAGAAGGAGGAGGAAAAGGAACAGGTTTCAGGAGAGATTTCTCACCCTCTCTGCTTGGGAGGTCCTATCCCCTTCCCAGACCCCTGTCCTGGGCCCAGGCCCCACCTGGTGTGAGCCCAGCCAGCTGGGCAGGGCTAGACTCATGAACTCGGCAGACAAAGGTCACCATTTCCACGCGCTGCTCCTCCCGGTGGTGAAGGCCATAAGTCTGTAATGGACAAGGGGACCCTCAGCTCAGGGTTGGGGCAAGTCCATTCATCCCTCAGGCTGGCCATCTACCCCCCACTCCGCCCCCATGTGCAGTTTCTTCCACCTGGATCTCAAAGCCAAAGGTCTGGTTATCCTCCTTCTCCAACGTCAGCACTTTCCTGCAAGAGACACAGGGGTCAAGTCTATCAGGATTAAAAGGTGTAGCAGTCCTGGAGCCTGGGTCTCCCTGGATACTGGTGGCTGGTCTAGAATATTCCAGCAGGACTCACTCCAGTGACAGTTCAGTCTCATCACAGAGTATAGGAATGTCTTTCCCATACCTAGCTGAAATCAGCCTCGTGGAGCCACAGAGAACCAATCCAGCCTCTAGAGGTGGGAGGGAGGCACAGAGAAGGGCCGGTCCCCTGTGGGATGGGCCCACTGAGTTTTTCAGCCATATCCCAGCTTTCCAGTGAGCCCCACAGTACCACTTACTGAGCTGAGGCCCCAGATTCAGTCACAGCCTGGAGCCTCCTCTGCTCCACAGCTTTGGGGAGAGAGGACAGGCCCCACCCCCAGAGGCCAGTCACGAGGCTCAGCAAGACCACAGCTGCTCCTCCCAGCTGCGCTGGGGCCAGCCCACCAGATGTGGGGGCTGGGGGAGGGGAGCCTCAAGGCCGCCCCTTCCCGCACTGAAGGCCTGCCCGCTGGACACAATGGTCTGGAGCCGCTCCAGATCCTCGCCTGCTGGGGGAGCCCAGAGTTTCCTCTGCCCACTCCTACCCCCTTCCTTCCCACCCAGCCAGAGGCAGAGTTAAAGCAGCCTCCAAAGTCCCCTTCAAGTAGCTCAGCCTCGGAAAGGCCCTGGAGACCAGGCTCCTCCGCTCCCAGCTTGACCCAGTTACTCCCCAAATGCTGAGCAGCAGCTCCCCACTCCAACCCGAGCCCCTCTAGCTCTGAACAGCAGCCCTTTCCACTCTCTGTGCTATTGGGGCAGGGAGCAGGGTAGCTACCCCAATGTTCTAGGGTTTTCTGGAAGGGTCAACAAACTTTTTCTGTGAAGGGCCAGAGGGTAAATATTTTAGGCTTTCTTTGTAGGCCCTTTATGACCTCTGTCATATACCGTTCCTTGTTTTTATTTTTATAACTCTTTAAAAATTACCAGCTCAAGGGCCAAACAGGCCAATCTGGCCAGCAGGCCACAGTTTGCTGAAAGTAAGGCCCAAATCGGGAATGGGACATGAGTAGAGAGGGGAAACTGTGGGGTCCCACGGCCTGGAGTCAGCACCTACTTTGGCCCACACTCAGATCCCTCCAGAGAGGGCTGCCACAGGCTGGGACCAGAAGACGACTGACATTCTGGAGGCAGGGGTAGCCAGCCCCAAGCAGCTGGACACAGCCTGGCTAAGGTCTGGGCCCGTGGGGTTTGCCGAGGCTGGGAGGGATTGGGGACCCGAGGATGCCTCTGTTAGGACATTCCCCACAGACTTTGCCTACACCCCCTCCCACCTCCCACACCCAGTTCATCCAGCTCTCCCCAGGGAGGGGTAACTGGCAAGGACTGGGGGTGGGTTGAAGAGCACCTAATGACTCAAAAGTCCCCACCTCCTTTCTCTGCCACCTGATTCACACAGCCTACACCCCCACCTGCCCCTCACTCCCAGCGGGGGAGCCATGCTTAAAGGATAGGAGAATGACTAGGCTGAGATGCTGTCCTGGCACCCCCCAACCCAGCACCTCACCCCTTTGGACCATGGCAGGGGCTGGGTGCTGGTGACTCACCGCTGCTGTTCAGGACTCTGGCTGAGATTCTTCCAGCGGAATCCTGAGCCCTGGTGGGAAGATGGTCAGGAAGGAGCAGGTGAAGCAGGGCTGTCCTTGAGCAGATGCTGAGACCTCTATCCTGGGAGAGCTCACGCCTGGGCTCCAGCTCTGGACACAGCGACCCACTTCCTGTCTCCCCCTTCCCAACTCCACATCCGAACCTTCATGGATGCTGGTGGAACTATCTGCCAAGTGCCACTACTGGTACCACTCCTCAGCTTTCTCTACAGGCCTTACCTTCACATCTGGGACTGCAGGGACACAGCCATCCTCCCGAGTTCCAGATCCATGAACCTCTAAGCCCTTGCTGGTTTCTACGCTGGCAGCGGGTGGGGAGATCATCATTCTAGAATGGTCTCCACCCCTAGGGCCCATATCTGTAGAGGTTCAGGCCATCCAGACTCCCACAGCTGGGGCAGGGGCTCTCCCCCAGTGAGATTCAGAGGACAGGGGTCCCCTGAGCTCACCTATCAAGGTGCTCTGAGGACCCTCTGCCAATTGGGTCTCTCCATCTAATTCTCAGCTACAGACCATGGCTTGGGAGGGCTGGGGTCAGGGACCCTGGCCTGAAGGGCTGGCAATCCCAGCCAGAATGTGGGAACAGAGGTGACAGGTCTCCTCAGGTACAGGCTGTTTAAGGGACAAGCAGTGGATCTCAGCTGCAGGTGACCAGCTGTGCCAGATACACCTGAGTCTCTCTCCATTGCCATATATTTTGTGCTTTCTGGGACAAAACATCTTAGATATCAAATTTGTCAGTAAGTCTCACTATACTTAAGGAGAGAGTTGGGAGTCCTTTTGGAGGAGAAGGATGAGAGATAAAGGTTCCTGTCTCTTCAGGGTCCTTGATAAGCCAGTCTCTCACCCTCCCCAACTTTTTGGTCCTTGGAGGAAGTCTAGTCCCAGAGCAGCCCTTTTCCTTGGTGCCTGTGCGGCCCAGGGCCTTTCTGGTCTGTGCCTTTGCTAACTCTCCTCCCAAGCTGCCCAAGGCAAGGAAGAGAAAGGCCAGAACCAGACTGGCCTCAGGGGTGGGGACAATTCCCAAATGGCCAGGGAGGAAGGACTGGGCAGCACAGAGAGACCCCTTTGTCTTTCAACATGATTTTCATAAAATGCAAATTTTCAACAAGCTGTTCATTGTGTGGGGGCTAGCTGGGGGCCAGGGGCAAAGGAGGGCGACTGGGTGAGGAAAGGCCACCAGGCCCCTCTCCTTAACCTGGTCTTGTGTCCGTTCGGAGCCTCAGGTCCCCTGGGGCCAGGGGAAGAGGCTGGCGGAGGGGGACTCAGAGGTGGGCGCGGCCCGCATCCTTCCTGCCCCGCGGGCGCCCTGCGACCCCTCCCACTGCGTCCGGTTCCGGCAGAAGTCCAGGGAGCCGTGGCCCTCACACCTCGCACGTCAGACGTGGGGCCAGACGGCAGGCCCCGAGCCCAGGAATCGGGGAGTCCCCTCGGAAGGGTGTGCTCTCAGGAGTCAGCGGCGCCCCACGCACTTCCTCAGCATAAGGCACGCGGCGCAGCCACCGGCCCGCTTCTCCCACCCAGGCCCCTCTCTGGGACCTTCAACTTGTCAGGGGTTGTCGCTGCCCCAGACTGAAGGAGGAGCTCAGGCGAGGGGGTCCTGGGGACCCAGGACACCTGGCCACCGGGAGGCGGGGCATGGGGGACAGAAAGCCAGATGAAGCGAGTAGAAGGGGGATGCTGGGAGGAGTCTAGGAGGGAGAGAGGGGGCGCTATGGGGTGGCGCGCTTGGGGCGCGCAGTTGAGAGCCACGGAGCCTGGGCGCGGTGTGCAGGCGAGGGCCACGGCCTTGGGAGCAGCGGGGGCCGCGGGGAGTAGAGGGAGACAGCGGGCCGGGGAAGAAAGTGGAGGACTCCGCCTAGCAGAGGGCACTGCGGGGTCAGCAGGCCCTGCGGGGGGGTGGAGTGGGGCTGAGCAGGTCCCGAGGGCGGGCGGGGGACGCACCTTTCGGCGGGGCAGGGTGCCCCCGGACACAGCGAGGGCGCGGTACAGCTCGGAAGGGTGGCAGTCCTCCAGTGCCGCGTACAGCTCATCCGCTGGGGGTCCAGGGGTGGCGGCTGCGGCAGGGGGTCCCGGGGTCCGGGCCGGAGCGGCGGGCGCGACTTCCGAGTCGGGGGCCCGGGCGGCGGGGTCCGGGGCGGCCGCCGCCTCCTCCTTCTGCTGCAGCTTCCTGAGTCGGCGGAGGGTCATGGCTCCGGCGCCGGGCGCCCCTCGGAGACGGGACTGGCTTCGCTTGGAGGGGCTGGCGGCGGCTTGGGGATGCCAGCAGGGCGGGCGGCGGGTCGCCTCCCTATATAGGTTCCGAGAGCGGGGCGGGGTTGGGGCGGACCGGGAGCGGCCTCGGTTGGCCTCGCCCCCAGCGCGCAGGGCCCACCCCCCGGGGCGCCGTAGCCCTGGAGCCCCGCCCACGGCGCTCGACGGCCCGGGAACCCGCGGGAGCTGGGCGCTCGGTGGGGGAAACCGAGCCGCCGATGCGAGGGGGCGACGAGGCCCGGGGGCGGGACGAGGCCCCGGGGCGGGGCTCGGGGCTACGTGATACCTGGAGGGGCCTGTGAAGGGACATTGCGCAAGTTTGAAATTTTGGGATCGAATAGCTCTGGCGATTCATGGAGGGGGGCATGATTAGAGGTCACAGTAAGAAGCTTGGGGAGGTGGGGAGAATCAGGGAGATCCAGGGGTCTGCAGGAGAGTCTAGTGCAGGGAGAGGCAGCGGGGCTGCGCAGGAGTAGGGGTGGAGACCCGACGGAGGAGAGAGGAAACTCCCTGAACTGACTGCGCAGAAGCCCCCAGGGAGTGAGAGGGCCCAGGATTTTCCCTTGACACAGCTGCCCCAGAAGAGCTGAAAGAGGCTGCCCCTTCTCACCCCCGTACCCAGGTCTAGGAGAAAGGGAAGCGGTGGAAACTCGGAAAGCAGTAGGCTTAATTCTGGACTGTCCCCTCCGCGGGGCTGGAGTGGTCCCTGCCGCATACACCTTTCCTCAGCTCCTGATACCGGGCCCTGATCCCGCTTCCCAGCAGACAGATGCTTACTATGGACTTGACTCAGGAGGCTGGGATGAGCCCAGGCTGAGTGGGAGTTCAGCGCTAGGGGGATGGCCATACTCAGCTGTTCTCTGACCCCATCTTAGGGACCATCCCCCAGGCTGTTACCATGGCTGCCAAGCGGTTGGAGAGGCGGGAATGGCCCAGCCGAAGTCTCTGTCGTCAGTGGTGCCCGAATAAGAAGTGAGAGGAGGAAGTGGAAGGCAGCGTCTGGTGTCTAAAGAGCGGCTAGCCACCACAGGGCGTCAGCAGCACAAGCTGGGGACTCCATGTCCCAGCACCCATCGGCCAAGAAGCAGAGGCGGCAATGCAGTGCCCCTGTCTGTCCCCTCCTCCCCCAGGTCTCCCAAATCTGTTATGCCTTCACAGTTAACATTTATTGAGCACTTACCATGTGCTATGCACACAGTTTGTTCTGTGTGTCTTTTTACATACATGCATTAACTCACATGGTCTTCTAACATCCCTATGAAGTAAGCACCATTATCCTCCCTTACAGATGGAGAAACTGAGGCCCAGAGAAGGTAAGTAACTTGCCCTAAGTCACTCAGCGGCAGAGCGGAAATTCAAAGCCAGACAGGCTGGTTCCAGAGCCTGTAGTCTAACCACTCTGTGATGCTGTCCAACGTTCGAGCCCTGCACTGTGCCATGTACTGGCTGGGCACCGGGGTTACAGAGGCTCTTGGCCTGGTAGGGAGTGGTGCCTTGCATGTGTGCTGTGTTAGACATGTGGCATAAGGAGCACAGAGGGGCAATGGCCACATCCACCTGTGAAGGCAGGAAAGGCTTTCTGCCTCCTGCCTGTCTCCGTTCTCGTACCTGGCTTAGTCTCCTTTCTTCCTTCTCTAGTCTCCTTGACTCTGTGTTCTCCTCCCCACCCCCAGTCCTCTGGGCTCCATCCCCTACCAGAGGTGTGGGTGGAAGAGGGTGCTTTTCCACCCCTCAGTGATTGCACAAGTCCAGATGGCAGGATGCTTGTTGGGTGGGGGGCCGGGGTGGATTGAGGACGGCCAGGAGCTAAGAGGTAGCTCTCTCAGTGCCTTCTCCCTCCTCCCACCTCCCGCCTTAGCACCACCAAGTGGCCATCAGCTGAGGGGCCGAGGGGGTGTCGGTGGGGAAACATGGGACTCTATTGTGAAGCATTAGCACAGATGGACCCCGGGACCGTCTGTTGCCTGCTCCTGACAGACGGCATCTGTGGGGGGTGGGAGGGGGAGGCAAAAAGTGGAGAGGCAATGATATATATTCCATTCATTCCATTGCTTATCCCCAAAAGGACCTGGCAAAAGGACATCCTGCACAACCTCCTCTGTGAAGGAGCCCACCACTCCCCGGCTATCACAGAGGGTTACCTAATGGACACATCTCCTTGCTTGAAACCTGGAGAAGCGGACGCCACAGATGTGGCACAGCCCCTGTGTCTAACAGCCTGTGGAGCCATTCTTCCTTCAGCTGACGTGGAGGCCGACTTCCCCTCACTTTATGCAGGGCAGCCCACCTCCAGGCCTCCAAGCAAGCGAACACCACCAGAGGACTGAAATTCACACCTCGTTTCCTCCTCCTGCCAGGGAGAAAGCCCTAGAGAACCCCAGAGTAAGGGCGGACCCAGGAAACGCAATTTTTATCAAGCTCTTTGTATGATTTCCTTAAATCCTGGGATTTCAGAGCCAGAAACGGCTGTACAGTCTGGAAAGGATATTGTGCCCTCATTTAGCAGAGGCAACTGAAGCCAGGGAGAGAAAGACAGAATCATAACAGGGACTAGAACTCAGGTCTTCTGACTTCAGAGACTGTTTAATTCAGCCATTGGTAGCTCCCTGAGAGCTCAGAGATCTCTGCCTGCATCCTCCTCCCAGTCTCCCCTCTCTCTCCAGGGATGGGCCAGAGAGCCCAGGATGCCACACTGTGGAGTGGTGATGCCCTCTGGTGGCCATGAGTCTCTCGGTGGAAAATCTTCCAGCCGGCCAGAAAGGCTGGCTGGCTGGTACCAGACTCCACCTGGAATCCCAGCCCTGTTTCAGGATTTCCCACGGCCCCTCTTTCTCCCAAGAGGATCTGTGCACAACTGGGATGCCAAGCTCCACTTTGGTCACTGAGTTCTGGAATCTCACACCTGTCAGGAAGTTTTTTGCATCAAAGCTGCTGCTGCTGCAGGTGAAATTCAGCAGGGAGAAGGCAGACAGCTGGAGCGCCTTCTTGGTGCACTAACCTTCGAATGCCAGGCAGTATATATGAGGCCTTTAAAGCTTTGCCTTCTCCAACTCTCCACGGCTTCCTCCTAAGCCTGAGTCTCTTGGCTAGCATCTGTTCTTCTCATCCTATCTTCTGCAGCCCTTTAAAGCTTGGGCGGTGGGGGAAGCGTTGTGCACACCACCTGCAACTTCATACCAGGACACATCCCCCTCCTCCTCCCTCCAGGAAGCCTCCTTGCAAAACCTCCACCGCTCTGGCTCCTCAGACATCTGTACTCAATCTGTACCTTCTTCCCAAGCAAGCCTCTCTCAGAATAAGCTCTCAGATTTCCCTCCCTTTGCTCTGCCTGCTCTGGCTCTTGACACTCCTGGCTGGCCTGGGGTGGGGGCTTAGATGGTGGTGGCCCAGCTAATGGATAAGGCCTAGGTAACGCCCCCTCTCTTCAGGACAAGCCCTCGCCTGGCTGTGGAAAGTCAGCAGCTCCACCCCGGAGGAAACTGGGACAGCTGAGTCTTCCACTGAGCAGCTGAAGCTCTAGGGTCCATGAGGAGGTCAGAGCACTTGGACCAGAGCTGGTCCCTCTGGAATCTAACCTAAGTCTCAGAGCTCCAGCATGGGCCTTATCCAGTAGCAGGGCCCAGAACTGGCAGGGATGAATAGTTCACCGGGAGCTCCTCACCGAGTACTGCCACTGCTCCTAAGCTGGGGAGGTGGGAGGGAAAGGGCCTGGGGCTCAGCTGGCTCTCTGGTCTGTCAGGAATGAGGGGCTGGGCCCCCAGTTGCATGACATCGCCTCTTGTGGGCGGTGGACAGCCGGTGGGCAGCTGGCTGGGCAGGGAGTGGCTGTTTTCCTCCGTGACTCCTCTTGCCCGACCATTTCCATGGGACAGTGTCTGTGTGTGTCCGGGGGCCTAGAAGAGGGAATCTAGCATTAGGGCTGACCTGGCACAGCCCAAAGATCTGATCCTGGGGGTCTGGGAGTGGGGTCCAGGTAGATGTTGCAGTTTTATTTGCATTGAATGTGGGTGGTCTCTGGGTCTAGTCCTGTTCAAAGGCCAGGGACCATCTGGCCTCTTGGATGAAAATGGCAGGGCATCTCTGGCATGAACGGGTTGGAATGGCAGAAGGAAGGTTAAGTCTCCAGGTTTCCTACAGCATCTGCCCACAACTCCTAAGACAGAGGGTATGTGTTATCTTACCCCACATCATTTTAGAACAGGTGCACATAGCGAAGAAAGAGAATGGCAGTTCTTAGGGCCCCATGCTGCCTAGATCGCTTTCCTCTTGGCAAATACACTCGCTCAGCTGTTGTGCGCCATCCTCCCAACCCCCAAACAGATATGCAAAACTGCCAGGCTAAGATCTTCTCATTTACTCCAAACTGAAGTCAGCTCCCCCATTTCCCTCACCATTCACATCCGATTATGCCTCAAACCTGTGTGTTCTATCCACTGTCTCTCCTGCTCTTCCCAGCTTTCTTGCTCTACCACCACTGCATTTCCTTTCTAAAGTCAGCACTGTGATTCTCCCAAAAGACAAACAGGATCACATTGCTCCTTTGCTTAAAACCCTCTGCCATGGTCTGAATGCTGGTGCCCTTCCAAAGTGTCTATGCTAGAACCTAATACCCAATGTGATGGTATTGAGACACGTGGCCTTTGGGAGGTGATTGGGTCACGAG